CGAATTTATACAATAGTGTTGAATATATTTCTATGAATCCAGAAAAATCCAATTTTGGAGAAAATGAGTAGACGATTTTCTCCGATTTTGGAGAAATATATTACAAAATTTTGATTCGGAGAAAATTTCAGTTTAGCGAACACTTTTTAACTTTCTCCGATTTTAGGACTGACCCCCCTCCTGCTCCAACCTCTTTGCGCCGTCCCTGAGTCACATCCACATCCTTGTAATTAAAAATCTAATCTGAGTATATGAATGTGTTTAATGAGATTATTATGTGTTTTCTTTTTGCTTACTTTATATTTTGAAAATGGTACTTCATCAGTAAAATGATATTGAAATGAATTATGTCCATTTGCAATTTGTTCCATAACAAATTTTTTATTTGCTAATCTCATAAAAATAGGATCTTTTGGTGTTCCACTAGCATTTAAATGTCCTAATATTAATAAACCAGTATTAGGTGCAAAATGAAGTTCAACACCAGGTTCAATAGTTAATTTAACACCTGGCATAACAATTAAATCTCCATTTATTAAATAAGGTTCACGTCTTTTATGTATTAATGTATTTGATGTTATTAAACCTCTTAATGGTCTATTCATTTGTAGAATTGTTTGTATAGGTAATTGAATTTGTGCACATGTTAATTCTCTACAAGCAAGAAATGGATTCCATTTAACATAGGCATGATCAGAACGTTTTGTAAAATCTAATATACGATTTTGTATAGCTTGTCCAACATCAGAACCCCACCAATTAATAGTTGCATCTAATGTTGTATTAATTGTATCAGTTAATAATGCACTTATTAATTCATAATCATAATGAATATTTTCAAATAAATTTCTTTGTATTGTTATATTATGTGAACCAATTATACGTATACATGATGATGGTAAATATGGATATTTTGTAAATAATGATGGTTTATTATCAATAAATTGATTAAATGATATTAATGATTGATAAAGTAAATTATTATGAAATGGTGCATGACTATTTGAATCAAATGATAATAAATTATGTACTTGATTACGTTGAAATATATTTTCATTAATAAGAATATCTTTTTCAACATGACGTAAATCAATTAATGATGTTTGATGATTAAGATTATTTTCAAATAATGAATGTGTTAAATTAAATGATGTATGAAAACCCATTAAACGTATTGATGTATATTCATTTGAAAGAAATATATTTTTATATATACGAACACCATGTGATGGAATTGTATAGATTAATGGTGTTGGTGTATGAAGAGATCTTGTTGAAACATATGGCCATATTGATAGACTAGCAAAAATTGTTCGATTAAATGGATATAAACGAGGAAATGTTAAATTTAATAAAAGATCATGATTATGAGTAAAATTTGTATGAGTAATTTCAAAACGAATGAGACGATCGGAAAATATTAATGGATGAGCATCAAGGTTGAGTACTAAAAAAGAAAAGTAATAAAAAATTATTATTTAAGAAGTAGAAGAAGTTTTCGAAATGTGTTGTATCATTTTCGAGTATATTGATTTTACTATTCAAGAGAGACGACTCAGGGCGGCTATCTATTTAAATCGAAATCATATGAGTTATTATTCATGAAGATTTTACAAAAACAAAATATTCTGGAATCATTCATTTTCTATTGAACTTTATATTGGAATAGGACCAATCGACAGGAAAAATTCTTCTCTTTCGATCTACACAAGTCGCAAGCTTCTAGTATGTTCGGTTCACAAGTTACAAGGATTTTCCCGAAACCCTTGATTTCAGTTTAGCATAATGAACCATTCCTTTCTTGCAATTTTTTAAGATCAATTTGTTGAAATCGAAGGTCTTAGAAAAACTCTTATTATCCTAGAATCGAACATGCTAGTGCTGACTCTGCTGTGACATACATATGCTCTCGGGCTTAACTAATGTCTAAAGGATAGAGTTGTGTGTGACTCATTTTTTCAAGTTTCGGTCTCAGCCTAGAGAAAACTCGACGGGAAAACAACTGAGACTTCGGTCTTGAAGTCTCGGGAAGTCTCCTGGATTTTTCGACGTACACTTAGTGTATAAAAAATTTCATAAGAAACACAATGAAATCGTAAGGTTTTTGATGATCTTATTTTAGCAGATATGTGAACTTTTATTTAGGGATGGAAAGTTACCGTTACCGAACCGTTACCTGGTAACTGGTAACTTCCCACTCTATTGTTGACGGATGCCCTTAGATCCTCAAGCCCTACAATAGCGAGTACACATGGGTTCTCAAGTCCTACTATAATGGGTACTTTTGGGTTTTCAAGTGCTTTTCGAAAACAATTTTTTTTCAAAAATAGAACTTGAGGACTTTAGGAATCGGGACTGGGAACGGAAGACAGTTATCATACCGTTACCAGTTACTTGGTAGCGTAACGGTAACTTTCCTCCTCTAGTTTTGTGTGGTGCAAAAATCTGATGCCATTTCTAAGGCTTCTCGACCACTCATTCAATCTCGAAGTCTCTTGAAGTTTAATGAAGTCATATAAAATCTTGGAAAGTCTTCTAAAGTCCGCTGTTTCCCCATCGAGAAAACTATTCTAGAATTTATCGTATCATATCTAAAAGAAATTCTTCAAGATTTTGTTTTCATTATTTTATTTAATCGACAACTAGCACTTTGTTGAATTAACTCCCTTGAATTATGTTCTGATTGATATGATTTATAAGATAATCCACTTAAAGTCATATAATAACTTGTTTTTTTTCTCGTAATTCTGGCTCCGAACATCTACACTACTAAGAAAAAGATCTTGTTCATCTAACCTTGTTGATTATTGATAAAAATTGATTTATAAATTCTACATGTAAATTGTATTGGAATAAATTGTTTATTTTCTTGTATAGTTTCATTCATTAACATTTTAATATTATTTTCAACTTGATTTGAATGTAATTTTTTTGATTGATGATCAATTAATATACTTCGATTTTGATTATATTCAAATAAACATTCATTTATTTGTATTGTTGAATTTTTATAACGTTTTTTTATATTAATTATTGTTATTTGACGTTTTAATTGTTTATCTTGAAATTCTTCTTGTTGAAATTCTTCACGTATTTTTCTATTTTCTTCATCAATAATATCAAATGATGGATCATTATTATTTATTTTTTTACCCATTAATAATTGTTCAATTAAACGTTCAATATCAGTTTTTAATTGATTTGTTAATGCATATTGATTATTTGTTTTTTCTCGATCATTTAAATAATAAATAATATCATGTTGATTATAAGAAAATAAACAACGATGAAATCTTATTGATATATCAGATAAAAATTTTCCTTGACTAAATATTGGTGCTGGTATACTATATATAATAAATGTTAAACGACTTGTACGATAACGATAAAGACGATAATGAAATTGTAAACTTGAATAAGATGTTATTAATGGAAATAAATCTCTATCATTAGCTAATGACCATTTTTTATATGATAAACTTTGTGTTAAACCAAGACGTTGATGACATTCAACTTCACATATAATTAATTGTTCATTTATATTTGATAATGGATTATAATCAATAAGATCAATAATTAATATAAATGATGGATCTGTACGAATATTTAATGTATTAAATAATATATTATCATTTGAATTATAACCACCAAATGTTGTTGTTATAAAAGCAAATTTATTTCTTTCAACTTCATAAAATTGATCATATAATAAATCAATTGTATGAATTGTTGTTTGACTTCGTCCAATATTTATTCGTAATTGTTCAAGTTCATTATATGAAAATGATGAATCAAATTTCATAGCTGAATATTTATTATGTGTAAATGTACAATGAGAAAAATTAAAAAAACTTGAACGAAGTAAAACGCCAAGATAATAATTATGATGAAATGATGAATGATGTATTATTGAATAATCAAAATTAATTGGATGTATATGATTTATTTGTAAACCTATAATATTATTTGTAAATGTTAAATTTTTTAAAGTATTTAATGAATGTGAAAGTAAATCTATATGTAAAGCTGCATGAATTTCATCTTTATCTATATCATATTGACCAGCTGAATCAAAATGAACAAATTCTAATTGAATTTTACTATATGTTGGAAAAATATGAATACCTAAAATAAATAAAAAGAAAAATTCATAAGAAATTTTTTTGTTTCAGACTCAAAATTTCAAAAAGGTTTTCTTCTGAGGGATATTGGTGTCATAAATTTCTGTATATAAAGGGTGTTTCATAAGTAACGGCCTCATTTTTAAAAGTCTTGCTTCATACAAATGGGGCCATTATTAATAAAAACATCCCTTATATTCTGATAGAGCTTGAAATTCTCTGTCATCCTAGACTTCTGAAAATAAAAACGAAAGAGATAGTAAAAAATGCAGTCTTTTATAGTTTATCAAGGAGGATGCCTCTGTAATATTCGAGTTATCCTTTAGTAAGTAAATGCAAGGCAAGACAGAAATATGTAGGATGATAGAGAATTTCAAACTCTATCAGAATATCTATTTACTTTTGTAATTATGTATTTCGATAATAATAATAATAATAATTTGAAAGTTTCTAAAATTAGTCAATTTGATTTCCTGTCAACTGAGGGTATATCTAATGTATTCAACTTTTGTTTACAACAAACATAAGTAGGATAAAGATAACTATACAGGATGGTAGAGAATTTCGAGCTCTATCAAAATATAAAGAATGTTTTATAAATAACGGCCCCATTTGTATGGAGCAAGACTTTTAAAAATGAGGCCGTTACTTATGAAACACCCTTTATGTACTAGACACTGTTCGGGAGGGTCTAATTTTTTTTTTATGAGCTTCTTATCTCCTTTCGTTCGAATACAAATATTAAAAAATGAAGCATATCACCAAAAACACATGCCTAGTCACTACAAACAATGTCTTGTACTTGTAAAAAATATATCAGCTTTATCAAATCGCGTAAGAACATTTAGAAAAGTCTTTCTCATGAGAAAAGTTTCTCAGTTAGTTATTCACTTTTGAGCTAAGATTATGTGCAGTATGTAGAGTCAAATGAACTCTGAGCATACTGGAGAAAGCTTGGATCTTTCGCTTATTATTTCGAAAATACTTCATGTGGTAGTAATTCTCATGAACACTACTTTTCAAATTTCGATTTGAAATTTTTACAATAAAATTTTCACACTTAAATCCATCGGATCGAAGTAAATGTCTAATAATCTTCTATCGTCTATATTTCACAAAATTTCATGTTCAATAAATCACTTACCAGCCCATGAAGTAGGTAAACATTTAATCCAAACATCATCTGTATGATCACATGTATGTACAATTTCTTTTCTACATTGTTCAATAGTTTGATCTTGATATAAATCACAATCAACTTCACTCCATATGATAGGATCATTAATTATCGTTTGATTTGTATTCATCATGGGATATAAATAATCATTTGGATCATGTATAAAACCCAATGACATACAAATAAGTATAGAATTTTCTTTAGTCCAACCATGATTACATACAGTACCAGAACCATCTTTTTGACTTGTAACAAATAATCTACCTTCATAAATTGTTGGTCCATCAACTAACATAATTTCATGTTGAATTTTTTCTTGTTGTTTTTGTTGATTAACTAAAATACTTGTTGAAGATTTATTATTTAATAAATTTAAACGTGTTGGTGAACCATCAACACCTTGAATAATTAATTCACCATGAACAAATATTCCAATACCATTTAAAAATTCTAATTGACTACTTTGAATTGTTAAACGTTTATCTGGTTTAATTAAAATATCATTTGTAACAATATAACGACCTGGTGATAAATTATAATCTGTATCAATAATTCCACCTATTGTTGATATTAATGGATCAATACGAAAACTTGTTGTTTCAAAACCACAATTTGGTAATTGACAATGCCAAATTTCAGTTGTAATATTTCTATCACTACATAAAAATGGATACCAAATAATTGATGCTAAATTTGATCGATTATGTTGATCAAATATTCTTTCACGAATATTTGGCCATTGAGAAAAACATAATTCTGGACGATCATAATAAAGTGAATAATAATATGGTATTGATGATGCTGGTGATGCATAATATGGCCAATCATTATTTGTTGTTGAAAGAAGTATTGATTTATTTATTGATGGTACAGATAATATTTCATTTCGATTATCTGGTAAATAATATTCAACTGTTTGAGATGGACCATATGGACGTTGAAAAACAGAATCCGGTGGAAAAAAATCTGTACGAACATCATAAGGTTCAGATAGATAACTATAACTTATTTGAGAAACAGGTTGAACTTGTATTTGTTGTTGACGACGTGTACGATTAATTACACGACGTAATGGAGATTTTAATCGAAGTGGAATTTCTTGATTTTGATATAATTGATAATTATGTATAGCAGACTAAAAAAAAAACAAATAGATTATTTTCAAAACATAAGGAATATTACGATAAATTAACTCAGACATAAAATAATGGTTCAGTATGAAAAAATCTCATTATGAATACATGTAATGAAGAGATCTACAGTCTTGAATAAAAATCTTTCATCATTGGATCTCAATTGGTGTGAGGAAAAACTCGAAGACTGTCCGATTCGGAAGGGGGTGTGGGTTGATTTATTTTGCAATGATCAATTAGTTTTGTATTTCCTATATGATGCTTATAACTAACATATTTTTTGAGAAGTATTATGTAGAAAAATATCATAATTTATACCTGTAAATGTTGATTTCTTTCATATGGACTAAGTGGTGTTCTTGTTAATGTAATTGGTGGTGGATAAATTGTTGTAAAAAAATTCATATCAGCTTTAATAACAGCACTTGAATTTATTAATTGACTAACAATATCAAATTGACTTTGTTTATTTCCAAATATATTACGTGTTATTCTTATATGACTTGATCCAATAGTTAATATTCCAGGCATACGTGAACGTGAATTTAAATCATTATTTATTTTAGATGTTATATTATTATTAATTAAACGATTATACATAAATAATATTGTTTGATATGGTGATAATTCATTTAAATCAAGTGAAACAATAAAATTTTTTCCATTATTATTTGTAAAATTATTAAATAATATTCTTAATGTAACATTACGTAAATAAATATCTTCATTCCAATTTGATTTATTACCAACAATTAATAAAGCACCATTATTATGTCCAATAAATGAATTATTTGTTATATCACCAAGAATATTTTGTACAGGATTTAAACGTAAACCAACACGTTTATTATTTAAAAAACGATTCCATATAACATTAAATATTGTATTACCTGTTTCATTAGCATATAATAATGCAACTGGTATCCATGGAGGATATTGTGGATAAATATTAATAGGTGCTTGATAGATTATACTTGGGGGTGGTGGTGGTGGTAATAAACTATTAAATGGAATCATTGGAGAACGAAATTGATAATCAATAACTTTTTGTGGACGCCATTCATGTTGACATGAATCAAAACGAATAGCATCATATACTGAACGTTCAAATAATGAACCATTTATAAAGAATAATGCTGGATGACATGTTGAATGTTGCCATAAACCATAAAAACCATTTGATCGTATTGAAGAACCATTTATAAAAGTTATTTGACGATATGCAAATGTTGGAAAATCAATATTTGATAATAAAAAACCAATTGGTGCAGAATCAAGACGTACAGATAAACCATGTTGAGTATTAAATGATATATCAGAATAAAATAGACGACGTTCACCACCATCATAAATTATATGAATACCATCTTCATTATTGGAATTAAAATTTGAATGATATGTCCATAGAGCACCTATGAATAATTGAAAATATATTTAAAAATAATTATTTTCAATAAATAATGAAAATAACAAACCTGCACCAGAATCAATATCAAGACCATGACGATTATTATGTTTAATTAATGTTTCATTGATTTCAATAAGACTACGTAAATTTACAATACGAACTCCATTTAATGAATTATTTACAATACGACTATTCCATATATGTACATCAGCATCACGACCTATATAGAAAACATATTGATCAATAAAAATTCATAATAGAAAAAAAAAATTTATTCAACAATGGTATTCCTTTTTTTTTCTAACAATCAACTTTATTCATATTAGAAAAGATTACTCATTGGATTAGACATTGTTAATCACTATATTCTTAAGACAAGATCGAATGTATCCATAAGTAGAGGTGTAAGCCGTCGCCGAGTTTCCTATGTCCAAAATCAGTTTTTGGAGATCTTATCGTGCGACTACTTGTCAATACTCGTTTTTTATTTCAAAATTAAGAATTCATCGAAAAATTTCAGCCATCACCACCGATTAACGTATTCGTCCACATCCCTAATCATTAATTAATGGAAGAGATCTGTTTGAACTAATATAATTCTTTGTACATAACATGACTGGTACTATATTGAAAATTTTTTAATATAATCTGTTCAATTTACACGGTCTACTGTGTGCTGATTATTAAGACGAAAACAAGTGAGCAAAATGAGTAGCGATGGGATGAATGCTTTCTCTTTGTATACTTACTCTCATTTCCATTCCGCACATTGACTCTCTCAATACTCCTTTGGCCATTGACTTTCTGTTCAGAGCTATGGTTAGTATTAATTATAGGGAAAATATCGGACTATTGAATCTGCCACTATGTAGCAGCCTATATCCACGGTATCCGAAAGGCAAGAGTGTTCTTTTTCTTCGATTTTTTTATTATGACCAAAAATCATATATAAATATGGATATCAAACAAACATAAATAAGTCCTATTTGTTCAAAATAATACTGTCCGGTTAATAATTAAACAAGATTTCCAATAAAATTTTTGCTTTAATTCTCAGCATTCTTAATTGTCATTACACTATCACACTTTCTAAACATATTCTTTTGTCAATAAATGAATAGTCATACTAATTCTTGATCTAAATAAATATTCGAACTGTCTTTTGACACGTAATTCATTTTTGTTCTCTTATTACATAATTTTTCTTTAACAAAAACAAAAAAAATTTACCAATATCATTAACAACATAAAGTTGTATACGATCAGATTGATTCCAACATGCACGACTTCGAACATTATCACATGAATGACACAAACGAACAAGTAATTCATTTGAATATGATGATAAACTTTCTAATGTTCGATTAAATGTTATATTTGCTAATAATGGCATAATATCAAATTTTCCATCATAAATTTCAACACGAAAACGTGTACGATAATCACCAACAAATACTGATTGAAAATGAACCGTTAATCGTGTATTATACAATGATGAAAAAGCCTAAAAATAAAATTTAAAAACAAAAAAAAACAAAATTATTTTATTTTACTTGTGTACAACAAGTTCCAGCTGCCGATGGTCGATAAGTAAAATAATTTGGAAATTCTACTGTATTTGCTGTTTCACAAAATGATTTATATAGTCGTTGTGGACTTTCTTCTTGTTCTCGAACTGACCATTCTGTATTATTTAATGTGTAATGTACACCATCACCACCATTATCATGTATATGAACATTATCTAATGTTACATTTCCATATCGGCTTGTTACAACAATTCCATGTCCTAGAGACAATATGAAAAACAAAATGAATAATCTTGTTTTGTTTTTTTTCTACCTCGATTATAAGCTAATACAGAATTTCTTAATCGAACAGAACTTCCAACATTAGAAAAATTCATTCCATCCGATGCAGAATAAAGTATTGTAATATTATCAAATATTGGATTAATTAAATTATCAAATACAGTTACAGCTGCATAACGTTCAGCATATGATCGTATAGTTAATTCTGGTCTTAAACCAGCATGTAAAATATCAACATAATTAAGTATAGATGGTTGTTGTTTAAGATCATTGAATAATGGTGATGCTGAATCTGATATATGTGGAATATCGGATAATTCTTTTGATTGAAAATTTCTTTCAAAAACAATTCCACCCCAATTAAGAACAACAAATGGATCAAAAAATCCATCACATTGAAGACGAATATATTGTTTATTATCTAAATATATATTTATGAAAAAATAAATAAAATAAAACGACAAAGAATAAAAAGAAACAAGCCATACAATAATTAAAGCAAGCAAAAAACAAGAAAAAGCGTGCATGCGAAAAAAAGAAATATACAGCAGAAATTAGAATGTGCATTATTAGGTTTCTTACTGAATAAAATTGATCTAGAGTAATGAAAGAAGAAGACGTAGAAAAAAGCTAAAGCAGTTTTGTCACAAGTTTCTTTGTTTTTGTAATATAAGAAAATAATTTTTACTCAATGATGATTTTGTATGGTAATTATTTGAGAAACTTAAGTAATTTTTGAAATAGCGTTTGTCGAATTTCATAGATTAAATTTTGCTTATTCTAATATATTATTCAATGCTCTGTAATAATGTTCAGTTGAATAAACTAATAACTGTACCAAAACTGTTATTTTGCTTGCTTAGTATTTTTACTAATTTTTTGACTTTTAGAACATTTTAAAATTTATTCGATGGTGCCTTATAAGAGGAAAAACGACCAATCCCACAACTTTCTTAAACATCGTGTACCACCAAGATCTATAATTATATTTATTGATTATCCTCTAAATTGAAACTAAAGGGAGTATAGGAATGGATTATTGCAAAGAATGATTTTTACTTCATTTTGTTTCTTACAACTTTAATTCTCAGTAGCCGTGTATAGTATTAAGCTCTATTAAATTAAAATATATGTTCGATCTCTTATGAGAATGTGACAAACCAATTCTAAAAACGTTGTACAGTTAGTCACCATTCCTCTCAGGAGTAGTATCGAACAATTTCAAACATTGGCAAAGTCAAACATTAGTTCGAATGCTATGATTTCGGAAAAAAAGCAATTCTCTATTGCAACATGAGTTGGTATAGACAGCTTTTCAAACAAAGGTTAGTCATCTTATTCGACAGAAAATCAATTAAATATTCTATCACAGACAATGATATAGATTTTATGCCTTACATACAAAAGAAAAACCTTGATGTCATTTTAAAATAAACACTTCTCAATTTTCATTTTTAATTTCAAGAATAAAGCAATATGTGACAATTCCCGCTGTGTTCATAAGAATATTATAATTATTAGTTAGTAGCTAAAGAAAAATAAATCTCTTCTTTTTTTTTCGATTTGTTTTAATTATTTACCACATATATTTATTCCAAGTTGTGGTGGTACACGTACACCAGGACAATCAAGTAAATGTTCATCTTTATTCCATCGACATGCTGGATGATCGATTTGTAAACCATACCATGGTGATTCACTACCATTTATACGATATGGTATAACACTTCCATTTCGAAAACCCATCATACGACATGTTAATGTTGCATCATAATCAAACCATCTTTATATGAAAAACAAAAAAAATTTTTTATTTTTAAATATAAAAATTTTCATAGACAAAAATAAAATTTACCGATAAAATTCTGTACAAACATAACGCCATCGATTTTTAAAATACATTTGTAAAAGACCATTTTGAATATTTGTACCATCAACAAGACGAAATCGAATATTCGTACCTGATATTCGATGATTTTGTTGTTGATCACGATAGAGTGCACTTGTTGAACTTGTAAAAACAATTCTTCGATCAGGTGTACCCTAATATTAATTTAAAATAATTTATTTTCAATTATTTGTAATAAATTTTACTTTAGCTAAAAATCTACCACGAACAATAAGTTGTGCACCACGTGGAAATCTTAATATTGTTCCACTTTCAATTGTAACTGTTGAATCATAAGGAATAATAGTATCTCCAGATGCATCATATGGACTTTCAAGACGAGTTAAAAGAATATTACCAACAAGATTTGGTAATTTAGTTGATTGACAATAGCAAAATAAGGATAGGATGATAACGAGATACATTGACGCCATGCATTACCCTTGAATGGCCTCGAGCAAACTCATCTAAAACTTATCTTTATATATATTAAAATTTAATCAAACGATCTTTTGACCGTTAAAGTATATGAATAAGTAGTCTACAACGAATGACTCATACATCATCAGGTAAAACAACTATCGGTCAACTTTCATTATTGAATGATTTACACCTTTATTCATTCAGGTAAATACTTGACAGAACGATAGAGAGCGCTAAATGTCATAGTAGGTATATGTTGAAGTGAATGAGAGAACAAAAGAATGAACAAATTATGATGAATTAACAGAAGTCGATGACCGAAATGATCATCAATAAAAAGTTAATTAGACTTTGTCATAGAACGCAAGAAAAATATTCAACATTGCAATAGAAAACAAAAGAAACTTTATTTACATTTTCAAAAGAAAAAAGTAACAAAAGAATCGTTGATAGAATGAATCACATTATCAAGGTTAATTACTATAGACTAATAATATATAATTTTTTCTATCGCCATCATTAATATCGGTCAAACTCTAATAGTTCATATAGAAAAGACATTGACACACTAAAGAAAAAGTTTGACCAAAGAACATTATCAACTGATGAATAGATTTTTTCATTAAAATCTGGAGAATTGTAGGTTATCAACTATGCTGGCTTTGTAGACTAAACTAACGAGGGAACCACCCGAGGTGACACCTTCTGTTTTTACTCATTTATATTTCATTCGATAGAGTGTATTGAGATAGTCTTAGGACTGAGAGAATTTTTCCCCATGGCTCTTCCTTCAAAAGTTATGGTGCGTTTTATTGAATTTTCGACCTATTCCCGAATATTTACGAAAACATCAAAATAGGGAATTTCGACTTGATATTTCACCCACAGATAGGTCTAATGGTCCTTAGAATATCCTGACATTTTTAGTTTGAAAGAATGTTCCTTTCTTGAGATATTGAATTTTCAAGTGAACTCTGTTTTCGTTACCAATCTGCGGCAGGTGACTATTTTTTTGAAAATTCAATATCTCAAGAAAGGAACATTCTTTTAAACTAAAAATTTCAGGATATTCTAAGGACCATTAGGCCTATCTGTGGGTGAAATATCAAGTCGAAATTCCCTATTTTGATGTTTTCGCAAATATCCGGGAATGGGTCGAATATTCAATAAAACGCACCATAACTTTTGAAGGAAGAGCCATGGGGAAAAATTCTCTCAGTCCTTTGACTATCTCAATACACTCTATCGAATGAAATATAAATGAGTCAAAACGGAGGGTGTCACCTCGGGTGGTTCCCTCGTAAGAAATTTTTTGACAATTTTTTTTTTAAGTCTATAAAGGATTATGAAGTATTGCAAATTTCATAGAAAATCGTAACTTTTTCTATTTACAACAGATGGATATTAATCTTACAATGTGAAAGTCTTTCGAATAACATTATTTTACTTAAAATAAAGAAAGAGCGAGCTGAAATAGTGATTGTTTAAAAATTTTCTGTCTATTTTAGATCAGAAAAATTGAAAACATCACTTTTTTGTAATACACACTTAAGTAAAATGTTGATTTTCATAATTTCCAATATTCCTACTGGTTGTTCTTAATTTATAAGGATTTTTCGTAACATTCCTTCATTTGTAAGCATATCCGATTGTTTCTATTGATCACGGTGAATAAATATAAACTGATAGGGGAATCACCAGAAATCAAAAAACCTGTTTTTTCCTCCTTACAACTCGGTATGATCTATAATTTGAGTAGATTTCAAAAAAAATTCTGCAAAATATTGTTTAGACTGAAAAATCGATTTTCGAAATTCATTACTATTTGCCTACTCTCATACGTTTTCATCATCAATTGAACCTAATAGCACAGTTAAATATCTATTCTAATACTTAAAACATCTATATTCTAAAGAAACTTTATTAGATACATTTGTAGAAAAAGATTTTCTGATCATTGAAGATAATGCATACATATAGTAGATATGAGAAAGATCATCACGTTGTTTTTGTATCATAAGTAGGAAGAACATAAATAATCATGTAAACTGAAGCAGCACAGAAGATTGAGAAAAAAAAAAGATCATTTCAATATTACCGATGTAATAACTGCTATTCAAAGAGAATTTAACAATACAACTCTGTATGCGAATCTAAATCATTGTTATTTCAAACAAAAGAAAATTATAATTAAGTGTTGATTTTAAATTAAAAATTTAAATACTATAAAGAACTGATTTTTCTATTGTTATTCAACCATATAGCATTAGTTATTTTTTGATCTCTATTATCTTGTAAATGATTCTAGTCATTTGTTTTACTACTGTGACATATAAAAGTATGAACTCTATATAAAATCCGACGTTCAGTAGATTACATATAATATATCTTGAATCAAGATCATCTCAAAGAAGTCATAAAAAACTGGTTCATGGGCATTGTCTTTAATATTTTAAAACAAAATTCTCAAATAAATTCTTTTGAGAATTATATTTTCATTTTATTAATTATAAGGAATACCCTCAAATGATGCGTTTATGGTAAGATTAATATTCTTACATCCATTTATCAAATAAGACTAATCTAATAGATATTTCATGATAGAAATCCATCATTATATATAAAACACATAGTAGAGTACAAAAAAAAACCAGAACATATAATAATCAAACTAAATATTATAATGTCAACTGCATTATTACCTTTCATTCAAACAGAATTCAATCGTTATGGATATATGATTCTTTTAATTTTTGGTTTTATTGGTAATACTTTAATAATAATTCTTTTTAATCGACATCATCAAAATCTTGTTCAATGTATTTAATATGGGTATCTCTGATGAGTAATCTATTACTTGTGTTCATCATTCCACTTAATATATATAGTATGACTTATGGAGATTTAAATTCACGTTCGATTATTTTTTGTAAATTACGTTATTATATAACTCATATTTTAGCTCAAACATCAAGATATTATCTTGTATTAGCATGTTTTGATCGTTTTCTATTGACAACAATGCATTCATATTCTCAATTTATTACTAAAACATCAACAGCAAAATATTTAATATTTATTACATTTATTATTTGGCATATCTTTCTTTTGCATATAGTTATTTTCATAAGAATTAATAATGGACAATGTAAACAATTCGGCCTTTATTATATATTATATTATACTTATATGTTAGTTTTTGTTTGTTTAATTCCATTAATATTAATGAGTATATTTGGTTATTTGACTTATTATAATATGAGAAAATTACATATGCGTATTCAACCAAGGGATCTTGATCGTAATAAAAGAAACATACGAAAACGTGATCAAGAATTACTTAGAATGGTACTTGGTGATGTTTTTGTTAATCTTTTAACATTATTTCCATATTCATTTGTTATATTGGAAACTGCTATAACAACATATATAAGCATGAATAAAAGTATTGATCATATTCGAATTGAAAATTTTATTACGGTAATAACATCATTTTTATATCTTTCAAATTTTGCTGCTCCTTTTTATATTTTCTTTACAATATCAAAATCATTTCGAAAAGATTTCATAGAATTTATTCAACATATTCGACATGCTCTAACGACTGTGAATGAAGGAACAATAGCAACACAAACAAGACGATGATACAAGAAAAAAAATATCATGGACTATAGTTTCTTTTTTTTATAAATCGAAGAAATAAATTTTAAATGTTGTTCATTTTAATCATTCTTTAGTAAATAAAATATATTATTAGCATGTGAATATAATGAGTTTTTGAGACCTTGACGCAGCTAGAAGAATGCCGATGGGGTAGTTTTATATAGTCGTTAAAATATCTTAAGAATATGAAATATTGTTTTTGTACTTGAAATTTGCAAACATTCAAACGATCATCATACTCTCTGGATATATACGATTTCGTAACCATATATAATAAGAGATTTCTTAAATTGGTTAATCGTTTTTTTTTCTCGAAATTAATATGGTTGTGAACAACGTATGATGATGATTTGAGTTATTAGAGTCTTATTAGCTTTTATAAATCTGATGTTACGGCTCCCAACTTTCTGACAAGGATAGTATTCGTGACAGCTTTAGTTTTTGATCTACTAGAAATCATTCGACAAAATATTTTATAAGAATATTATTAAAAGAGAAGACAAAATAATATTCTCCTCTTCGAATGTGTACTAATTTCTAGAAGACAGTTGTTTTTGCTCGTATTGAACAAACATAAAACAACATGACAAAGAAAGATCTTTTTATGGAATAAAGAGTTTTTTTGCCAGGATGTCTAGTGGAGTTTATTTCCAAATAAACTCTTGAAACTGAATGACTAGTAGTCAAAATTCTGCTGGCTTTTTCGTATTTGCATTCCAACCCGGTTTTTCCATCGGAACATAGGGTTAACTTGTTTTGAAACTTACTAAAATATCAATTGACAATATCGAATTCCTGTCAACTTTCACTAAATTTTCCAAGCGCACAAAATCTTTTTTTTTTAACTGACCGTTCCGATTCCTAGTGCGGGACAATATTATTCGACCGTCTTTACAAACAAATCTTTTGGTATTAAGCACATGTTTCTACGATAGAACGTGGGAGAAATATCTAAGAATGTGGCCATGTTTTACAGCAATGTTCAAGAAATGAGAAAGAGGACTGCCTAAATTATGGATAAACGAGAATTGATCATTAGTTTTCTCACAGTTCCGTGATGATTTTTCTGCGACAATTTTTGATATCCGCACATTCATGTTCACAAGTTACTTGATGAATATGAATGTGACAGCAAAAAAATATCATGGATATTGTGTCGTTTTCATTTCAACAATCATGGAATTGTGGAAGATTCGAGAAGAAATTTCTATTGCTCTCATTTTCTATAATGCATTTGTTATCTTGTTCAAAGAAGTTTTTAACGATTGAATTATACTCAGAATCGAAACTTTTGTATTTAATAGTTTAATTGATAAATTAAATAATGAGTAGATATTATAATAATGAATAAATATTTGACAATGGAATTTGTATTATTTAACTTAGAAAGATCATTGTTTTTAATTTAGATATTTTCGAAATCAATTGAAATTTTCATCCATAACTTCAATAACTATGCAATAAAAACAAGACTGAAGTTCAAAATTTGTTGGTAATTGAATTGTTCTTATTGTTTATTTCTTATCTTTCTCATGAACGCTGAAGTTTTTATAAGTATGTCACGATACTTTGAAGTTGCACAGTTCAAATGAAAAAAATAATTCATTCTACATAGTTGAATTTCTGAAGGCTACAGCGTCCTTCGGATTCAGAAGTCATTATATTGCTCTTTTGACCTACTACTCACACTAATCTAAAGTGATTAAACAATACTTGGCGGCAGAAAAAAAATTCCTGTGGTCTTATCTTTTTATTATAATCAAGCGAGAAGAAAATAGATTTTAATTATCAATATAAGACTTTTAATAAAATTATTTCGTTCGATATTAAACAGAATAAAAATATATCGGATGTAACAAAAGTTGTAGAACGTTCTTTGTCTCACATGGAATTCTATTCAGGAATATGATGATCATGTTCAAATAAGAGAAAGCCGAAAATTGTTGAATTTTGCTATTTGGAACCAATTAGAAAACTAGTGTTGCCTTTAAAAACATATCATTGCACTTCATTAGGCTACTAATGAAATTAATGACTAGATCCAATGACAAATAATTTCGACTCGATGAACTGCAGTTATCATCTTTGATCTCAAAAGCAAATCCAAAATGAATGAAAGCTTTGCCTGAGAAACTCAACGATCAATTCACATAATTTTTCATAGTTATGGGTGTTGATTTTTTTTCTTAACACTCACATCCCCAGGAGTGTATGGACATTTTTTTTTCAATCGTTTTTGACCAAAATGATGAGCCGAGTGAAGTTAAATTGATGAGAAAATTTTAAAAACGATTCAATCAATGTTTATTCGATAAAAAAACACCAACAAATAACTGATCTATTATAGAAAAATAAACACATATTTAAATATCACAATAATCATATATGGATAAATTCCATATTAGCAGGAGGTACAGGTTCTTGTTCATTATTTGTACCCGAATCGAGTTTTTCTTCTACTTGTTTCGTTGATGTTTTTCCAGAAGAAACTAAAATTTGAGCACGATGTTTTTCAGTTGCTCGTTGTTTTTTTGCTTTTTTCTTATCAACTTTAACTTGACGATTTGATATAGGTCGATTTTTCGTTTTAGAATTTTTGTTTGTTTGTTCATTTTCTGATGTTTCATCATTTGAATTTTCTTCATTTTTTTCATTATCATTTGTTTTAAGTTTAAGTAAAGCTTCAACAGTTGAATCAATATCGAGATTATTATTTGCAAATAATTGTTGAACAATATCAACATCATAAACACCTGTTATTGACATTATTCGTTCTATAGATTCATTTGATTCTTGAACTATTGTCGGTTGTTCCAATGATGAACTATCTAAAGCAAGTAAATAAGCTATTGTTCCATCAATATCAGCATGATTATCATTTAATGTATCACGAATGAATTGATGATCAACAGGATTTGTTAATTGTGATGCAATATAATCAATATCATGTTCACTAAATAATTCCGTTGAATCAATAGCACATGCACCATATGTACTTTCATTTGTTGTCTTTTTATTTTTTTCATTTACTGATGTGATATTACATGTTGTCATTGTTTGTCGAATATTTGCTGATGTAGATGTACGATCACCTAAGGTTCGTACCGATGAATAATGTTCATAATCATGATATGATATATGAATTTCATGTTTTGGAGAATCAGAAAAACATACTATCCAAACTGGTTGATTTAACTAAAATAAATGACAAGAAAAACACACTTATTGCTAAACGATATCTTCGACTACGAAGGATGATTATTAATTCTTGATAATCAAATTTTTCAAACAATTAGAGTATATGTGAAGTAGTTTTATATTCATTAAGAAGGAGATGCCGCCCGAAGATCTGATTGACTCTTCCGGTGCTGGTGATTCTTTCATGTACTATGTGCCTGTGCTGTTAAAAATAGTTTTAAATTACTCTTGCGGAATGCAAAAGTTCTGCAATAATTTTGTTTTCAAGTATAGCATGACAACAACTAGTCTTTGAGATTCTGTAATTTTCTTTGTTAGCACGAACAAACTCTTTACTACAATGGTATCCATCTACTAATAAAGTTGATTTCATTTTCTATCTTTTGTAGTACTATCATTGGATACAATAAACAAGTAAAAAAAAATTTCAAGCTATCAATCGAGCTTGAAACCGACATTTTTCTAACAGTGTTTGCGGGTGTAAAGTGTTCATATAACTGATACGTGATTCTATAAAATAAGAGTTTTTCACCCTTCGACATTGATGAAACTTCATACTTTGTGCCCAGTTAGAGTTAAGTGAGCCCCCTACAAAATCCAATTATATAAAACAGAATATTAGACATTATGAGAAGTAATGATAATGCATCCTGTAACGTCTTATAAATCATCACAATCTTTTGGTTAGGGTCAAGGAAATTTTTCAGATTCAGTTAAAGCTACACTAATAAAGCTTTTAAAAAACAACCTTTTTGAAGCACTAATCTCATCAAACTTGGTTATAATTGCATCTGTAAGCTGTAGCTTTGAACGAAAATTGTAAAAATTACACACAACAAAAAATATCTTCAATTTTTACATGGCTGTGCTCTTTGTCGTAGTCATTCTCATAGGTGCAGATCTTTAACCGCAATGCTTTCAACAATGTAGAATTTCCTAGAATACTCTGATCCTATCGTGCCCTGCAGAGTGGGGTAGGATAACCCTACAGATCTGTACAATTTATCTTACAAATCTATTTCTTTTAAAAATAAACTGTTATATGATATAATTACTTGATGTATACATATTTTAGCATCGAAAAGACGTGAAAAAGCAACAAGACATTCATTTCCACCATATGTTCCATCTTTTGAAAGTGAACGAATAAATGCATCAAATGATTGATCAGTAATAAATGGTTCGAAATCAACACGATTTGTACGCATATAATCACAGATTTTTTCTCGATAATAACCATGTCGATATTGATCACCATCCATTTGATCGGCAACTATTTACAAACAATAATTTTGAAAGAAAATTATTGAAAATAACTCACAACTTCGAAATAGACAATTGCCATCACCTACAATATTTCTTATGTGTAAATTAAAAGCACGTAATTGATTATTAAATTCTCCAAAATTTTCATCTCCTTTTCCATGATCTTTTTTTTCACGAGATTTTTTTTCTTGTCGTCGAATTTCACGTTCTTGTTGTTTTGATGAATTTGATGTACTATCTGAATTATTACGTCGAGGACACATGGAAGAGAAAAATCACTTTAAATTCAAATTATTATTCTAAAACTAAAATGCTTATTTTTAATGCATATGGATTATACTAATAGTTACATGTATTAGTGAAAATGAAATATAAATTACATATTTGAGCTGTAATGAACAGAATAATGCCAATCAACAGTTATTGTGAAATTAGGTAATCAATATTATATACAATATTTCGAAAGTATAGAGAGATTGGCAATAGAGATTATGAGTCAGTAATTTCGTCAAAGGATG